GCATACCGGGAAAATGCCCGAAAAAAAGTTATCATTTTCTGCATAAAATGGTCCAAAAAAAAATTTCGCATCGCTTCGCTCGGCGATAGTTATGATTGCACTTTATGTAAGTCCAGCTACGCCCCTGGATCCAACACATAATATTATCCAAAAGATCAACACCACCCTTCAAGAGATGTATACGACCAAAAGTATATCGACAATGACACCTTTGATTATCTTCGACCGCTTGAGAACGAATCCAAGGCTGAGAGGTTCTATATGTTACATAAAATACACAAAATTGGCAATCCAGGTCGACCAATTGTTTCAGCAAATAGTCACCCAACTGAAAAGATATCCAAATTTATAGACCATCACTTAAGACCTAATGTTAAAGAACTCCCTCTTACATTCAAGATACGACTGATTATTTAAAGAAAATGGAAAGCCTTAATCCTTTACCAAACAATACTATATATACTCGTATATATTCATGGACGTGTCTTCTTTATAAACAAATATTCTACAAGACGAAGGAATATAGCAGCGTGTGAAGAGCTATGGAACAATCACAGTGACAAAAATCCCCCATATGCAACTGAGTGCCTTGTTACACTTCTGAAACTAGTGCTGGATAACAATAACTTATCTTTCAATGACAAACACTATCTATAGATAGACAGCAATATAGTATGGGCACAAAAATGGCCCCGTCATATGCCAACATATTTTTGGGCCAACTTGAAAAACGCCAATCTAATTAAAATATAGATCTCGGATTTCGTTATACTACGTTATACTACATACGACCTCGTTTGGAACGATTGGAAAAACGCCTCTTGGCTAGTGCTCCATGCCAGCCATTATCATGGTTTCGATTTATTGATGATATTGATTTTTAATGGACAGATTCACAAGAACATCTGAATGAATTTCTTGAACACTGTAACTCTTTCTACTATTCAATTCAATTTACGCACGAAACATCAATGGAGAAAATTAACTTCCTTGATTCTACGAGTTACATCCAGAACGGAACCATGATAACGAATCTTCTTACGAAGAAAACAGACAAACATCAATTTCTCTCTCCGAAAGGTTGCCATCCCAAACACTGCTCTCGTGGTATCCGTTTCAGTCAGACATTGCAAATCAAGAGAATATGCTCTACTGAAAATAAGCAAAAATGCTAAACTTGGACAACTACGTAAACATCTAGTTGTTCGAGGATACAATAATTACAGTATTGATACAGCTTTCGAAAAAGCAAACAATTAACCGCGAGGAACTTCTAAAGTACAAGGATGAGAATCAACAGAACACCTCTTGTACTCACTTACCATCCTGATTTTAAAAATGTATCATCCGTTCAACGGTTGTTCGAAAGCATTGAAAAATTATAGAGTATGACTCCAATTTGAAAAAAAAAATATTTTCCTCACCACCAGTCATGGCCTTCAGAAGACCTAAAAACATCCGTGAGAAATTAGTGACAGCTGTATAACAAAGCAACCTACCCCATCTCCTGCATGGTTGCTACAAACAATGTGGGAGAAGGAATTGCTTATGTTGTAAAGCTGCCAATACAGCAGTTCTATCATCAGCATCTTTACAAAACAAAGTTATACCATCTATACGTAAATTCCAACTGTAAAACGGAGAACTTAATGTATGTATTAAGGGGGTGTGTTATTTTTTTTTTTTTTTAGTTTTTCGACGCTATCAATCAAATTTGTTTTTTTCTCAAAATATAACACTATGAGGTATCGGGAAAATGTGGATTCAGAATATTTTTTTTTTTTTGTCATTTGCTTGACCACAATATTTTTTTTCATCAAATTGGGGATCAGGATATTTGTTTAGGAACCCCCCCCCCCTTTTTGAAGTTAAATGGTCGTTCCCTAACATGTAACACCTGTGGCATTCAGTACGTGGGAGAAACAATGGACAAATTGAATATTCGGCTAAATAACCATCGATCATGGTACAAAACCAACAAAAACTGTCCCCTCACTAGACATCTTCGCTCAAAGAAACGTCCTTTTGATAATGTTACTTTTCAAATTATAGAAGTGAACATTGAGTGGGACACCACGGCGAGAAGGAGATGAGAAAACTTTTGGATCCATCAGCTCCATACTTACGACAAAAGATACAGGAAAGCCTAAAGAATAATTTATTATGTAGCATCGTCCTTAATATCTTTGTAATATTGGCCAAAGGACGTTGCAAACTTATCTTCCTTCAACAACAGATTTCGTAATTAAATAAATAATCTTGAACTTCATCCAAACTTTAAATCTATTTATTAGGCAGCGAAATTCAATGTACAACGAGCTGCAAAAGTTTCATATCTGCATCCGATTTCACCTGGATACTGAGATGCACGCTCGATGAAGCTACTTTGTCTAGCGGAATATTGCGTTTATTTTTTTATCGCATTGCATGTAAATATTTTAACATTTTAATATTTACATACTCAATATTGTGTTAAAATTACATTGTTAGGCAATTTATATATATGGTACGAAGTATATTAAGTCATATATATTAAATTGCCTAGAAAATCAACCTAACAATGTTAGAGTAGATCTGATTCTTTACTTCCTCCCCGAACGGGGCTTCAACATGTACTTATCACTTCTCAATTCTACGACAACACCTCCTAGCATTGCGCAGACGCCTTGTCTCCTCCTCTAACTATAGCTGATAAAAATCAGCTTTCGTTTCGGGAGGTGTTACCTTCTCGTAGGTATTAAACAAGGGCATCTAATCACAATACACAAAGTATTTTTGAAGTGTGTGTAGTTCATTCATGTTCAAACTGCTTTTTCTTTTCTTTGTTTAAAATTGAGAATGTATACTTCATTATTGTTTGATCCGGTTGTGTTTAAATAATGTTATATTGTAATATTCTTTTTGTGAGCCCATTCTGGTAATAGAAATAAAACATCTTCTTCAAGGCTTCTATACTTTAATAATATGAATGTTGGATAACTTTGAATATTGCATGTTTGTAGATATTGTCATGTTTGTCTTGGTAACAACCCAATATTTGGATGTTACACCAACTTAAAATGATTTAATTTTATTTGCTTTTATTTGATAAACATAGATTCCACCACTGCATCAAGTGTGTTACGATATTTCTCCTCTCGAGACTATCTAAATTTAAAACGCGAGGCTTGCCGAGCTTTTTTAATATTTAAAATTTAACTGTTGAGAGTGGAGAAATATCGTAATACACGAGCATATGCAACTATACCAGTCATAATTACGTTCGATAACTCTGCATGTTACTGGTTTAATTAGGATTATGAAAAATTTACTGGTAACCCGTGTGATGAATGATTTAGAAAATTGAAAAATTTAGATATTTCACCTCAGGGTTTCGAGGTTTTTTTTATTAATATAAAATAATACCATAAAATAATTTCTATAAGAATCGGACCATACAAATCTACATAAGTCTTGTCAAAACTTACATGATCTTACATCGTGATTATGTGCCGTGTTTGTTTTCTTTGATCACGTTGATGACTTAATATCTCCTTAATCAAGCTATGTTTTGGGTATTATTAGAGTGACAATAACGTGTCATATTTAATTGCAATATAAACAGTGAAATTAAATTGTGTTATTTGCATGGGGAAAGTTAGTGTCGAACATCGTCTACGTTTGAAAATTGTTTGGTCGCCATTTTTTTACGTAACTTCGAAATTTCATCAAAACAAAAAGCATGTATCCACTTTATCAAAAAGACAAAATATTTGATTCTATATGCTGCTTTAAGGTAAGAAAAAAACTGAAAACGCATGCATCCAACAGTTTTTTGATTTTCATCGTAAAAATATTACAATATATATTTTCACAAGTCGACCTACGCTGTCAACATGGTCAATGTAAACAATGCATGGTTGATGCATATAAATCTTTGTTTTGAGTGCGAGAGACTATTTCTAATAACTCTATTAAATTAAAGGTGAAATAAGAAATTTCTAAAAACAATAAGACACACTTTAATAAATATTTCACAAATTACTTTTTACTTAATTGCTAAATGAATACATGTCGTGTCTTTGTTTACGTACGACATCGGCCGCCATTTTCAAAATATTGTTAACGAATGCCAAAATGTAAACTTTTCAATCAAATTTTGAAGCAAAAAGTTTGTTACCTAAACTGATTTGGGTTTCGATTTCATTTAAATGAATGTGTTGTCGATCTTTCTAGGGGTTGGAAGGATATTATTAACAAATAATAAGTTGAGAAAATTGATCATATAAGAAGGTCCCATTGCAATTTTATTGAGTTTTAACGAAGAAGTCAACGGAGGCTGTGTGGTTATGTCACCTCTATTTTCAAACTTAATTTGAAGCAAGAAATCATATTTCTGAACTGAAACTTAAAACATTTTCAATTGTAAAATTGAAAATACTATAAAACGCGGGGTTGGAAGGTAAAATACACAATGTAACAAAAAAGTTATGATCGTTTAATCTATGTAGCCCGTTCATTTTCATTGATAATCAATCGGCCATTAATGATATACATCTGAATTGTAAAAGTCACGTGATGACCGCTATAGTTGGATATGATTACGTGGTGGACTGATCTGTTTCTCTACTCATTTTTTGACGATATCTAAACAAAGTTTATCCTTCCTTTTCAAAGATTTGCAGAAAGTTGTGTTCTTTATATATGTGGCGTCATCAGGCATGACGGTAGCCCCTTTTCCAGAGACATATATATATATATATATGCCTTTTCCAAGTCACACGATTGGCCTCTTTTCATGACGTCACAATAGGAACTTCAGAAAAAATCAAGAAAATTTGACGTCATAATTGCATTTTGACCAATATTTGCCGAGAAAGTTTTCTCTAGAGACGAGAAATATTTTTCTCACACCGATCGAGAAATGTGAAAATAGCATGAAAAAAAAACATTTATAAATTTCCCGCTAAATGAGCTTTAACGTTCCCAGAGTTCCTCAAATTTTAGAGCATGCGTTTGGAGGCAATTGCAAATGGCGGCATCTGTTTTTGTTCAATGGCGTTAACGATATCAGTACATTTCATGGCTTTATCGTCACAAGTTTAGGTCAGTGTTGGTCCAAGAAAGTGGTGCATTTAACAAATGCGCCATGTATATGTCCAATGAAGTGTAACAAGTTAGCTGTGCGTTTAATTGTATCGAAAGGTTTTCGTTTACCTAACCGTAGGGTCGAATGTGGTTGCACGATTTTGATGTTGTTGGTCATTACTCCCATATTTGACAATCTGTTCAAGCTTTGTCGAGTAACACCCTTTTAAAAGATCTTATCATTATAAGGAACAACAGGTTAAATGTTTCATAAATAGCAAAAGATAGGTGTCTCTCTTGCATTAGTCCGTTATACCTCTTTCCGTATGATATTGCATTTTGACTTTGCAAAAAAGGAAACTGCTACAACAGTCTCCTGTACTTATAGTGTCCAATAGCATTGAAAATTTACTACCAGAGACATGTTTAAATGTTGTAAGTGTGATGCAACCAAGCAGTCTCTACTTTTTTTAAAGAATTTGTGCAAGTGAAATTTGCAACACTCCGGTACATGTGAGGGAGTTCACACCTTCATTAGAGGCATTTATTTAATAGCTGTCAATTTCATAGAGGCATTTATTTAATAGCTGTCAAATTCATGTTCACCTATTTGACCAAAATTCTTATATTTTATTTATATATATTAAAATGTAAATTTAAACTACTAAAAGTACAAAATAAACAACAAGGCGTGGAAATATAATATTGGTTCAGCAATGTGTGTGTATAATAGGCTAGACACCATCTAATTGTCCATCTAGTTGACCTCCAAAGACTATAGATGATCATTTACCCTGAGTAACCATAGATATAAATAGACACACTATTGTTCCAGGTCTGTTTGCCTATTATCATGATTATGTATTGAAAATTTTGTAAATCATCTATTTACATGTATAAGAATGGTTTTTGTGGTCTGGATCAGTCAGTGAAATGTTTATTCATTGTAGCTTCCTTGTTTCAGTTTTTAATGTTGACATTCTTTTTTTTTTAAATGAATGAACTCACTCGCGTACTACATGCTGAACACATGCACAGTCTGTCTCCAATATTGGCAATAAGACCTAAATCAAAAATATGTTTGTTTGCCGTTTATTGACAGACCTAATAATCGAAAAGATCAGATTGAAATTATTTTAATGCCCCTTGAAATTCTTAAATAAAAACACAGGGATTGCTTTTCCGGCGACAAAAGTTGTTAAGTTTTCTGCTTAAATTAATTTGATAGGTACTACTTGTGATAGATCATTGATATTTAATATAAAGTTACATTACTATTGGTACAGTGTTCTCCCCAGAAATTTTTTAAGGCGCAAAATTTCAAGGGGGCGTAACTCTATTCAAGAGTGAACTATTGTGACCTGAAGCAATCGGTCATAAATCATTACATGCACAGTATTAATATACACGATTAAGAATAAGAATATATATATGAAATAAATTCATTTTAAACACAAAAAGCATTTATATCACAGTCAATTAAATAAGTCAAAATGTATATATAGTTCAAGAAAAATCCTCATGTTCTTCAGGGCCTTCCTATGCTGAACAGCTTCAGAAATATGTATTTCTGTACTCTCTGTTACTTCTAGAGATATAGTAACAAGACAGTTTGTAATTTTGTTGGACCGCCTGTTCCTCAGTCTTTATCCTCTTTAAGGTTGAAAAAATCATCAGCCTTTCGCTTAACCCATTTCTTCTTTGCAAAGAACATGTTGATTCAGCTTTAAAATTGATTGTGTTTAAGATGTTTGGTATACAACTTTTAAAAACAAAAAAATTGTAATGAACCAGCTGACCGGTGTCCGTAGTTTGACATTACGCTTCCGTGTGTATAATTGTCAAAAGTTTCTTTGGCAGGTAGAGATAAACGAAACTTGACAAATTCATCAAAGTTAAGACCAGTGAAATTCTTTACTAGTGACATTATACAAATGCTGCAGCAATTCCGTACATCATCCCGATGGACGAATTAACGATCGATGTTCATGATGTTAAAAAATTATTTTATTTCTAAAACGTGACAGTTGACAGACGAATTTTACTTGCAAGCAACAATTTTTCACTTTCTAATAATATAAATCACTCCTCGTTCTCTTTTATAAAAGTTTATTTTACTTTTTTTGACCTACAAATACTCTCATTCATAAATTTCGTCGTAAATTTCTTTAGTAATGTGTATTCAAATTTATCACGTGTATTCATCATGTTCATTGGTCGTGTTTAAATAGATTCTTCTTCTCGACCAATGAAAAAATTCATTACTTAAATGGCCAAGTGATCGCACACAGACGATGCGTAAATACAATGTATTTGCTTTGTGATCTACTTCTTCAATTTTTGCACTGAAGTTTTTAAAAACTTGTATTTTCTACTAAAACTATCTATCTTCCTGATGATCATTTACGCTATAACCTGATTACATGGTCTGATAAGGCTGGAACAGGTATATCAGAGACTTTTGCTAGTTATCAGTTATTGCTCAACATTGACCGACCTCTCAGCGGTGATCAGCAACTTGACAATTTTAACCAACATAATTAAAATGTGAAAATTAACACGCTGCGGGATCAAGTATTAAGGGACAGCGGCCAATTAAGGCGCTGCGGGATAAACTAAAATATTTTGAAGGCACTGCGGGACCGCAGCGTCATATCGGCCTGGGGAGAACACTGCCTGGTACTTATCAGTTTGACAACTATTTCGCTGGCCCTGCCCCCTAGGTCATGGTCCAGCGACTTTAAATTAATTAGCAATTTTCAATGTTAAGTTTTCTGCTTAAGTCAGTTTGATAAGAACTACTTTTGATAGATCAATGATATTTTGTAGAAAGTTGCATTACTATCAGTACATATCAGTTTGACGATTATTTTGAGGCCCTGTCAACTAGATATTGGTCCAGTGACTGAATTAATAAACCATGTTGCTGTCCATCAGATTGTCTTTTTCTGAATATTATGCTGACTGGCGAGACATATCTATGTGTCAACAGTTTACATTGTTTAAAGTTGCTTATACATGTAAATTTGTTGGAATTTATATTTTTTTTAATGAGAAACAGTGAATATCACAACAGAATAGTTTTCCATATTCAATGATTTCCCTGTGATTCTGAAGTAGTGTGAGCCCTGTTTTCATAATAATAATGGAGAGGTTAATGCACATATGATATTTTTCTTATACATATAAATGAGCCTATCCAAAACATGTCTTCCATTTCTTAACAACAGCATAAAATAGACAATTGATCAGAAACAAGGGAAACAAGATAATCAGAAATTGTTATACATGCATTTTTGTTTCCAATAAAAAAAAAGTAAAATTCTTCAAAAATAAAATATTTTCCCTACCTACCATGCCTACCTTCCTACCCAAACTCTGGACTCTTGGTTAGGGAAACAGCAAACAAACATATTTTTATACAACCGCAAAAAATTTTGCAGTTGTATATTGGTATGTCGTCGTCGTCGTCCGAAGACACATTGGTTTTCGCACTCTAACTTTAGTTTAAGTGAATGGATCTCTATGAAATTAAACCATAAGGTTCAATACCACAAAAAAAAGGTTGGGATTGATTTTGGGGGTTATGGTACCAACAGTTAAGGAAAAAGGGGACAAAAATAAGCATTTTTGTAACTTCCAGACATAACTTGTGTGTTAGTGTATGGATCTCTCTGATATTGTATCACAAGGTTCCATATCACACAGGGAAAGCTGGGATTGATTTTGGGGGTAATTGCCTCAAAATATTAGGAATTAGGGGGAAAAAAAGGGGCAAAAAGCAAGCATTTTTCTTGTTTCATGACAATAACTTGTGTGTAAGTGTATGGATCTTTCTAAAATTGTACTACAAGGTTCCATATCACAAAGGGAAAGCTGGAATTGAGTTTTGGGGTAATTGCCCAAAACGTTTAGGAATTAGGGGCCAAAAATAAGCATTTTTCTAGTTTCCAGACAATAACTTGTGTTCAAGTGTATGGATCTCTCTGAAATTGTACTGCAAGGTACCATACCACAAAGGGAAGGCTGTGATTGATTTTGGTGGTAATTGCTTCAAAATTTTAGGAATTAGGGGCAAAAAACAAGCATTTTTCTAGTTTCAGGACAATAACTTGTGTGTAAGTGTATGGATCTTTATGAAAATGTACTACAAGGTTCCATATCACAAAGGGAAAGCTGGGTTTGAGTTTGGGGGTAATTGCCCTAAACGTTTAAGAATTTGGGGCCAAAATAGGGCCAAAAAACAAGCATTTTTCCAGTTTCCAGACAATAACTTGTGTTCAAGTGTATGGATCTCTCTGAAATTGTACTGCAAGGTACCATACCACAAAGGGAAGGCTGGGATTGATTTTGGGGGTAATTGCTTCAAAATTTTAGGAAAAAGGGGCAAAAAACAAGCATTTTTATACGACCGCAAAAAGTAAAAAAAATTTGGTGGTATATTGGTATCACAATGTCATCGTTGCTGTCCGGCGTCAGCATCGTCTGAAGACAGATGGTTTCCGGATAATAACTTTAGAATAAGTAAATAGAAATCAATAAAATTTTAACACAAGGTTTATAACCACTAAAGGAAGGTTGGGATTGATTTTAGGGGTTATGGTTTCAACTGTTTAGGAATTAGGGGCCAAAAAAGGGGCCCAAATAAGCATTTTTGTAGTTTCCAGACAATAACTTGTGTTAAAGTGTATGAATCTCTCGGAAATTATGCCACAAACTTCCATACAACAAAGGGATGGTTAGGATTGACTTTGGGGGGTTATGGCTCAAACCATTTAGTAATTGGGTGCAAAAAAAGGGGAAAAACAAGGGTTTTTCTGGTTAAAGGACGATTGAGACAATTTAAAAGCAGTGTAAGGGAGATAATCCAATTCAAATTAAAGAACACTGTTTGATTACCTCCCTTACACTGCTTGTAAATTATGTATTAAAAAATGATGATTGTCTTGAGGTGATTAGCTGTCAATTTATTTTTAGCAGTTACTATTAATCAATATTAATTTTAGCCATGACTATGGATGTCATTTTATATTTTAAAACTTTTATGATGTATTTAAATGGGTAATTTTGGTTGCAAACTGCATTAGAAATTTGAATTGAGATACTGACCATATCTTGAGGGAAAGAATTTTTTTGGGGAATAAGGGAAAAGGGGAGGTGAAAAAAATTGGAGGGGGGGACAATTTTTCTCATTTCAGATTTCAGAAATTAAAGAAAATTTCTTCAAATATTTTTTTTGGGGGTTAATATTCAACAGCATAGTGTATTGCACAAAAGCAAAAAAACCGGGGTAAAATAAATTTTTTTTGGTAGGGGGGGGGGGTCAATTCGCAACAGCATAGTGTATTGCACAAAAGCAATAAGTTGAATATAAATTCAAATCATATAACCAATTTGAAGTTTTTTGACTACAGTTATTCTGTGTCAGAAACCTATTATGTGTCAAAAATTTAGTTACAATCCAAATTCAGACCTGTATCAAGCGTGAATATTGTGTCCATTTTGGCCCAATTTTTCAGGGTTGGACATCTACTGTCGTATCCAGCTGCGCTCAGCGAAGCAATTTATTCTAGTTTCAGGACAATAACTTGTGTGTAAGTGTATGGATCTTTATGAATTTGTACTACAAGGTTCCATATCACAAAGGGAAAGCTGGGTTTGAGTTTGGGGTAATTGCCCTAAACGTTTAAGAATTTGGGGCCAAAATAGGGCCAAAAAACAAGCATTTTTCTAGTTTCCAGACAATAACTTGTGTTCAAGTGTATGGATCTCTCTGAAATTGTACCATACCACAAAGGGAAGGCTAGGATTGATTTTAGGGGTAATTGCTTCAAAATTTTAGGAATTAGGGGCAAAAAAAGAGCATTTTTCTAGTTTCAGGACAATGACTTGTGTGTAAGTGTATGGATCTTTATGAAATTGTACTACAAGGTTCCATATCACAAAGGGAAAGCTGGGTTTGAGTTTGGGGGTAATTGCCCTAAACGTTTAAGAATTTGGGGCCAAAATAGGGCCAAAAAACAAGCATTTTTCTAGTTTCCAGACAATAACTTGTGTTCAAGTGTATGGATCTCTCTGAAATTGTACCATACCTCAAAGGGAAGGCTAGGATTGATTTTAGGGGTAATTGCTTCAAAATTTTAGGAATTAGGGGCAAAAAAAGAGCATTTTTCTAGTTTCAGGACAATGACTTGTGTGTAAGTGTATGGATCTTTATGAAATTGTACTACAAGGTTCCATATCACAAAGGGAAAGCTGGGTTTGAGTTTGGGGGTAATTGTCCTAAACATTTAGGAATTTGGGGCCAAAAAACAAGCATTTTTCTAGTTTCCAGACAATAACTTGTGTTCAAGTGTATGGATCTCTCTGAAATTGTACTGCAGGTACCATTCCACAAAGGGAAGGCTGGGATTGAGTTTGGGGGTGATGAATAATAAGGGGGTTCAAAAAATTTGGGGGGGGGGATTTTTTTTTCTTTAAAATTTTCCATTTTAAATTGGTTATTTCTGATTAATATATAAAAGCAAATAATAATGATATGGTTTGAATAGGTAAATTAAAAAAATTGAAGTTCTAAGACCACATTCATTCTGTGTCAGAAACCTGTGCTGTGTCAAATATTTAATCACAATCCAAATTCAGTGCTGTATCAAGCTTGAATGTTGTGTCCATACTTGCCCCAACTGTTCAGGGTTCGACCTCTGCGGTCGTATCAAGCTGCGCCCAGCGGAGCATTTTATTATGTATGGCCTTAAGTTCAAAGATTGCATGATATGGATTCAAGTGAGGTTGAATTATTATTTGAAAGCCAATAATACATCAACAAAGTTTGTTGGAATTGAACCAAATGGAGTAATGCTAATATCTAAATAATATTTATATTTTTGGCTTTAATAAATGTTTGAAACAAAAGAAAATCATATTTTAATTTTTGTCTAATTGGTAGCTAATGCCCCTTAGCTTTAACACTGTAAGAATGAAATTATTTGAATGTATTGGTAATGTTTGATGAGATTTTTTCAAAGTTTGAATGTAAATATTGAGTAGTAGAAGTTTTGTCTAAAGGCAAAAAAAAATATGTGTGTTTTTCTGATTACCCTGCTGACATTATTTTTTTCCAGCCATTTTGCCGACCCTGACATTTTTTTGGGGATTTCCGAAATTTTTAACTTCCGTAAAGAAAACGAGACCGTTCCGTTAATGTCTGGGATTTAATATTTATCAAAAGGTAACAAAACGGCATCCTTTTTTTTTTTTTTTATCTATAAAGACATTCATAGATACAGTCAATTTATTTCTATAGAAACAAGTCGAAACCATTGACTCTGTTAATGGTTATTTCAAAGAAACAACAATTCATGCAAACCAGAGAAGTCTCTTTGCAAACAAATCAAAGTATTTTCTTTCGCTTTCAGCACTCGTTACTCAAGCGTAGATCAAAATATTCTTATTTTTTGCTACAAAAATAGATTCTTCATTAGAACGTGATTGACAATGCCTTTAGTTAAAGTTTGAACCATTTATTGCATTGAAAATGTCATATTCTTTTTCCAAATCGCTTGTGAAGATTGTTATTTTGCAATTTTTCTGCGTCTGCCATTGACTAATTTGTACGAGTCACCGGTCGAAGGCGGATCAACCATGATGGAAATCAGTATTCTTACGATAATATATTTTCACTCACGAATGGCACAGCTGACAGAAGAATAATGATCCCAAAAGTGAAAAATAAGCATTCAGCACGCATTAATAAACATTTGCCTGGATCATCTAAGTTACAAGTATATATTGAAACAATGATTGATTGAAGTTGCTTTTTAATTTGTTAAATTTATATGTTTTTTAATGAGAAACTTTGAATATCATAAACAGAATAGTTTGATATTTGATTGATAATGAAAAATAATTTTCCTTTTTCTTTTTCTTTTTTTTTGGTACTACATGTACATGATGTACTGCTAGTTCCTGACAGTAACATGTGGAAAAATAGAATTGTGTGACTATAAATGACAATTAACATGATTAAAGACATAAACTATGACAACTGTTACTGTAATGGTAGCTTCTCTTTTAAGTCTCACCACTTTTCTCTACCAGTTTCAAAAGGAGAAATTCTGAAGTAGTCATGGTAGTGTGAGCCCTGCACCTGCTAGCGGCCATTAGCTTACTGGCATGTTGCTATGACCAATGTCAACACAGAAATGCTAAGAATAAGGTTCTTGGATATATACACATAATGAGAGGAACATATACATCCCATTTGATTTTCAGATTTCTATAACCATGATAACCATGCTACCACAATATTAGATGTACATGCATACACGTTAACAAATTTCGAAAATGCACATCAAAACCAATTATGAAGCAGAGTTAAATAGAACCCACTTAGTCACAGTCGCATCTATTTACCACACCAACCCACCCCCTCAAAAAAAATAAAAAGCCTACCTACCTATTTTGAAAACTGATGAAATAGGAAACACACATATTTTTTTTTTGGCCCAATGCTAATTTTCCTGCACATCGAGTGAGGAGGGTGAAAATATTGCTTCTTGACAAGAACTTCTCACTGACCAGTCACTGCTTTGTGAATGAAATTAACATTGTAATAATATTATTACTTGTACATTTCCATTGTCATCATTGTTCGCATTTCGAGTATTTTTCATTTTGGTAAAACTATCATCATGATCATGACTATGGAATTTATATAAATCTGGGAAATAGTTACATGTACATGTATACCTTTCCTAGATGAAATTAAATGCATTTTTAACAGTGCATTAAAGTGCATTTGTTAAATTGATATATATATATCCCTGTAAATAAAAGGTCTTAAGGAGATATAGTGGGAGCTGTTTGCAATGTAAACACATGAGGGTGAGGATGTATACAACTATAGGCTATCATATGGCCTTTAACAATGAGAAACCCCATACTCATGATACTGTATGTTTGGGATGAGAGGAGTACAAATTTAAAGATTTGATAGTAAAACCAGTGTTGTACCAGTGACGGGTGGAGCAGGATCTGCTTTAACTGTCTGCACTGTTAGGCACTAGTCGGATACCCCAGACTAGTAAAATTTTATTCGGACTAGTATGTATTTGCAAAATTTTGTCTTTTCTTCATTTTTTATTTTTTGCCATGGCATTTTCAGTTTGATTTCCATTTTATGAGTTTAAATATCCCTATGGTATCTTTTGTCTCTTTTTTTATAAAAGATCCTTTTATTCGAGGAAGTCTACTTAGCCAAACAGGATGGTTCAGATTGGAACTATTTGAGTTACAGTACTATGGAGTCAGGACTCATTAGAATAAGCTGGAACTAATTTGAACCCCTGCTATCACATTTTGCTAGCTAAATTTAACAAAATTGAAAATTTAATCTTTTTTTTAGGTGGTTCCATGCCATCGCTGTGAGGATGGGTCCCCAAGAGGACTACATCGAGACAGTCTTCACATGTGAAGGAGATATCAATGACCCAAACCTTCAGTCGCGGTTGGAAGATTTTCAAAGCCAGCTCAAAGAACTTTTATCAACAGGTTAGTCATTTTTGTTGTTTCTGCAACTGATTATAGCAGAATATCAAACAGAGCGAAACTAAACAAAATGTGTGATTTCAGATTCCTTGTAAACTATTTGTATAAAGCTCTATATTTCAGAAGGTAGAAGACCTGCATATTTCATATCTTGTATCCAGATGCATTTTTTTTTTAAGTTTCTTGCATATGTCCATTATTGACCTAAATTTCATGGTTCAGTGATTTTTTGAAAAACTGTTCATGCCCCACTGTAGCGGATGGGCATTAAGTTTTACCCTTGTCTGTCTGTACGTAGTACGTACATCCCAAAATTGGTTTCCGTTCTCTAACTTTAGTTTGCCTCAATCAAATGTTATGAAACTTATACACAATGCGTATTACCACAAAACACAGATCAAGTTTGAATTTTGGTGGCGTCACTTTTACCGTTCTAGAGTTATGCCCTTTACAAATGGAAAAATTGCTGAAATATTCGTTTCTGTTCTCTAACTTTAGTTTGCCTCAAGCAAATTTTATGAAACTAAAACACAATGTTTATTACCTCAAAATGCAGATCAAGTGTGAATTTTGGTGGTGTCACTTTTACCGTTCTAGAGTTATGCCCCTTTACAAATGGAAAAATTGCTGAAATATTCGTTTATGTTCTCTAACTTTAGTTTGCCTGAACCAATTGTTATGAAACTAATGCACAATGCTAATTACCACAAAACACAGATCAGGTTTGAATTTTGGTGGCGTCACTTTTACCGTTCTAGAGTTATGCCCCTTTACAAATTGAAAAATTGCTGAATTTTTCGTTTGTTTGCCTCAACTAAATGTTATGAAAATTATAAACAATGTTTATTACCACAAAACTCAGATCAAGTACAAATTTGGGTTGCGTCACTTTTACAGGTCTTGAGCTATGTCCCTTTATAATGTTATATGCAAGCGGGGGCATCATCTGTGTCCCATGGACACATTCCCCATTTATTTTAAGTTGTGAGTAATAAGACTACAAGCATATTTTGTATATAAATTTATTGCAGGGTATACATATCTGTCACAAGGTTCTCCTGAAACCTGACCTCAATCAGTGTTCTGCCCAGCTTTTGAAAATGAAGATTTTTTTAGTTTATAAAATTCTGTCATTCTGTCAGTTATAGTAGGTGATTTTTTGAAGGACTAAACAGATTGGAACCAATCACTTATTTTAAATGGAATGTAATTATCCATTTTGGGAATACTATCTCAAATGTAATATAAATTTACCATGCAAATATTTTATTATCATTTTGGGGAAATATTTGGCTGAATGGTTCCAACTTGCTAAAAGAATTATCATGTTGCTTTTAGTTGATGCAAAAAAATAACTTTCAAGATAATAAATCTGCAAGAGATATCTCTTTAATCAGTAAAACGATTGAATTGAACAAACTGTCAAAAGTGACACCTCTTCAGATCCTCCTTCACTTATGTTCCCACTTTGATGGTTAATTATTTTTCTCAGTTCCCTGCATGACAATAAAGTTGATGAGCAGCTTCTGGAAGTTTATATATAGTTGTCCTCACATCTTCCAGCTGGGGCACCATTATATATATACAGTGTACATACAAATAATAAGTCCAGAGAATCAAAAACCTGAATTAATAAGTCCAGAGAATCAAAAACCTGAATTAATAAGTCCATGTTAACACTAGAGAGAATAATTGGCTTTTGTTCCAAGACCTACAAGCATAGTGGTAATATTGACAATGCAAAATATATGTGGGAAAATAACGTACTTACTAAATTTCCATGAGAAAAATATGCATAATGGGCCCTGGGCAGAACACTGCCTCATTTCATTGATCAGTGTTAAATTTCCATGGTTGGTTCTGTTTTCTAATTTTAAGCAATTGGTAAACTATATTTGTTGAATGGAATGACTGTTAGGTGTACATGTCTGTCTGGCATCTGACCTTTTCCTTATTTTCATTGTTCAACATTAAGTTTTCATGATTATGCCCTTTTCTTATAATTAGATACTACAGAATAGGCAAATATGACATCTATGTTTGGTGTATGGAATGATTGTAATGGTTGCATGTCTGTTTGACAGGGTTTATTTGATTTTGACCTCATGTTCATGGTTCATTGGTCAACATTTAGTTTTTTGTGCTCAGGTCTGTTTCTCAGAAACTATAACCAATAGGTCAACTATATTTGTTGTGTTGTCTGATTGTTACTGAAGTGTACATGACATGTTATCAGACAAGATTCACATGACCAGTCACCTTGATCTCATTTCACATCTTTTTAAACTGCATGAAATGTAAAGAAAATGATAAAATTTTATTAAGCATTAAGCATCATTCTGTAGGCTGCTGGCGTTAATTGAATATATATATATAAAAGACATAAATGATTTATTTCTTTAGAAAAGATGTGAAAGTATTGACTTTACAGATTGGTCGTATGTAATTTATAAAAAAACAACTTTAAAGAAGAATTTTTTCACTCCTGCAACTTGTTACTAAAGAGCGTATATCAAAATATTCTGATTAACACAGTTCTACTCAGAAACGTTAGAAATCATATGAATTTGAAAATGAGAACCTTACTCGGAAAAAGAAAACACGAATTAAGACTTTAAAATCAATCAGAACTTCTCAGCCTTTCTTGTTGCACATAGAAAAATGGCTGAGTAGTTCTGATTGACCTTTTTTAACATCAAAACAAAATGTTGCGTTAACTCATGTTTGACAAATATTTCACAGAGGCGGCTGCACTTGACAGATGTTTTGTTCAGCATTTCAGAAAAGCGACCAAGTAATACATGGTAAATTTGATAGGGTGGCATTTGTAAAAATAATGCCTTAATTGCACGATTTTGCGTCCCAGAACAACTCCTGTGTACTCAACTTTAAACAGTTATATTTCATTTAGATATTTTAAAATTTTTTGCTATAAAAATCAAAGTAAAAAATATGTGCAAAACTCTTGTTCTAAGTATAAACAATTTATCTCTTGATTTTTCCCTATCAGTGCCTTAATATATCAATAACTTTTTAAAAATAGTTACTGACTAAGCATAAACTGATTGATTGGTTATTCTATTCATTCATTGTTTTCATACAGGTTGATTGAAATGAATGTTTGGAGTTTATAAATGATTGACTATAAGGATTATAACTTTATTCTACTAACTATAGCTATGATAAATATTTTAAACATTCCAAGCAATCCGACAAAAAAAGTCCTTTTTGCTATTGATGGTCAGTAAAGGTAACTTATTTAATTTCAATGTAAACAATCAATGGTCAGAACATGAAATGCATGGTCTTGAGTCTTTTCTGAAGACCACAACTAGACAAATATTTTTATGCCCCACTTACAATAGTAGAGGGGCATTATGTTTTTCGGTCTGTGCATTCGTTCGTTCGTTCGTCTGTCCCAGTTCAGGTTAAAGTTTTTGGTCAAGGTAGTTTTTGATGAAGTTGAAGTCCAATCAACTTGAAACTTAGAAGAAAATGTTCCCTATGATATGATCTTTCCCAATTTTAATGCCAAATTAGAGTTTTGACCCCAATTTCACGGTCTACTGAACATAGAAAACAATAGTGCGAGTGGGGCATCCGTGTTCTATGGACACATTCTTTGTTAATAGGTTATCATTGCTATAGAATAGTTAATGCTTTCTGCGATAAAGTACTCATTCATTCATTCATTCAAATAATGATTGCATTAAAAACAAGCAATCAGCACACAAAACAATAAACTTGTAATCATTGATGAGACATCCACATTGTTAACACCTGGCCATTGTTGACAAACAAATTTTCGGAATCGGGTATCAAGTCAATAAAGAAGGTTTTATCATTTTATTGATAAAATATTTTAAAATGATCATGAATTTGTTTTCTGCATCTCACTAAACTCTGAAATTAGAAATAAAACATGGTATGTGTCCCGTTACATACATGTAACTAGTGTACACATGAAATCTATTTTATATCATAAAAAGCCATTGCACCTTAAATTTGTGTGCACTTTTAATTTGTGATATACAGTAACAAGTAAATTGGAATGTCTTATTTTAAGTAAGAACACTGTTATAGTCCTAAAATACTTCAATTATTTTGAACTGGATAGTTTAAACCAAATATCACCTTTGCTTCTGCTACCTTCAGATGAGGGTTAAAACAGTGCTTATTTATTTACACTGACATCATTTACAAGTTTTATGATTTCTCTAATATTAATATTTATTGCTTGTATTTTGCAGATAAAAGAAAGTTGATTTTAAAGAAAGTAGAACCTTGGAATAGTGTGCGTGTGACATTTAACATACCAAGAGAGGCTGCATGGAGGTTGAAACAACTTGCCCAACAAGGCAATGTTACTCTTAGGCAGCTTGGAGTATTAGCTGTTCAGATAGAGGGAGATCAGCTTATTTCACTGACAATTGCAGGAAGAAATAATGCAAGAACACAACTTATTTTTAGAACAGCAGATGATACTGTAGATGCTCCTAACCTATCATTACTTGACTCTGGAGGGGGAACCCATGAATATGGATCTCCAGGTCCTACCAATGTTCAGTCAACACGTAGGAATATTGCAGACTATCTTCGACAGGGGGCATCTATATTTGATTCCATTCTTACACAAGATAGTGAAAGTGCTCAGAATACGTCTGTTCATGTAGGAAGGAATCCTAATATAATTGGCGGTGCAAATTTTCATCCTGACAAAAATATTCAAAATATTGCATCTCATACAGCATCATCAAGTAAAGCACAAGGTCCTTCATACAGTCATTTTCCAGCTGAAATTGAACAAAATGCTATAGGTATGGATAAGCCTCCTCCTCCACCATATCCTGAGGGGAGTGCTTGGGTTAATAATATAGCAAGGGGCATTCGAGGAATTCCTCATACAACAAGCCCATTACTGGTAAATTTATTACAAACTGATCCTGCCTTTGCATTAGCTGGAATGAACAATTTCATGAACTCTAAAATGATACCGCCACCCCCAGATGCAAGTCCACCGTTAAAGAAAAAGCGTAAACCAAGAAAGCCAAAGGCGGGTTGTGAAGGAGAAGCTACTATACAAAGTGTTCCGAATCCTGTTTTATCGTCTTACTCTATGCCTACATCTGGTAGTGGTAATAACATTCTACCTGTTCCTATGGTAACACAGGCTTTGGCAGCTAACACTCAACCTTCAGTAACTTTTTCCAAATCAGTGCCATCAGCATCAGAAATGATGTTTTCTTCAGTTAATGAAGATAGAGCAAATTATCCTGAAGTTCTGAGTAGTAAGGCTTTAAGTATGTCATCTACAGGAACTGCAGGTGAACCGATACAGTCTTTACCTGAAAGTACTGTAGGAAAGATCATAAATCCTTATACAGGACATCTGGAACCAATGGAGCATTCTGATTCTAATCCTGCCAAAAACTGTGTAACATTTGATAGACTTTCACCTCTAGGATTAAGTAGTCGTGAACAAACACTGCTGTCCAAAGAGAGAATGAATCATATAATATCGCATAACAAGTTACCAAGTACTTGTAACTCAAATATACCAGCATCAAGTACGCACTGTTCTGTTCCTTTACAGCAGTGTCAAACAATTTCTGCATTGTCTGTGGGATCTCGTATTCAAGGCAGCGAATCATTATCTGTGACTGTATCAGCTAGAAGCAGTAGTTTGGCATTATCGTCATCACAAAATTACAATTTAGTGCAATCTAGTCCCATAGCAAGTGTCAGTAAACGGTCCAATATTCTATTAGATATGTCTGGGAAAAGTCACTTTCCATCACAAACTTGTTCAATGAGCATTTCTTCTAACAAAGATCTGTACAAAACTGCAGCATTACATGGCCATCACATTACAGTATCAAATACAGTTTCCAGTGGTTCTAGAACAAGCACTGCTGAATCTACTTACTCATCGCATAAACATTTATCCAATAAGGACCATGTGAAATTGATCAGTTCTGAAAATTTGCTCAACCCCCTGAAAAATCCAGCCAAAAAAACAGGCAGCTGCTCGGACAGTAGTATTGGTGTTAACACTGAACACTCCAGTCATACAAAATCCATACATGACACTCATATGCAAAATGATATTGGTGCTGTTACTACGGGATGCACAACTGAAATAAATTCTAAAGTGTACTATAATGATTCAGGTGTTGGGAGTTCATCTGAGAGGTCAGACGATACTCCATCAGAACCAGGGGATTCTGATTTTAAATCTGCAAACAATCACAATCACGTGGAAGAATTTTCTAGATCAGTGTTTCATGAAAATTTAGTTCAAAAACAGAATTTATTAAACAAACCTGACAAACAAGTAATAACTGTTGGCTATGCCATGTCAAATCAGCAACAGAATGAGAAGTACAGCAATGATGTTTCAAATATTTTGGCAATAGATAAAGCTCTTAGGCACCCTGCATTGAAAAAGAAAAATAATGATTTGACTAAAAATAATGATTTGACAGACCATCAAGTGGCAATGATGCATTTATTTAGTAAGAGCAAAAAGAAAAGCCCAAAGCATTTCTTGCACGAAGATGTTCTTACAAAGGAACATCTTCAATTGTTACAGAAAGTAGATAGTATGCAGTATTTAAAGGACAGTTTTCAAGCACATGGTAGGTTTACAAATTTTAAGGAAAAAATATCCAAAAAAACCTTGTATTAATATTTATATAAAGTCTGGTACATGTACAAGAGTTAACAAAACAGTTGCAAGGAAAATAATAGTCAAAGAAAAAAATGAACAACAGTAAAAAAAAATAAGTGAGTTGTGAAATGAGTCTTAATTAAGCTATATTTTGTAGTCATTAAGCAGGGTTCCAGAATGAGTATCACTTTAATATTTCGAATTCTTAACCAGGATTTTCAGCAGATGCACAAGATTAAATCAGTTTTGGCTCACCTGGCCATATTATGGGATATGGACCATATCATTTACAATGTATTGCCTTCACTTGGTGTCGGTCCTCATTGCATACTCTGTAAAGAAAATCAACCCAACTCCAGCTGATGATCCTTAGTATATCTAGTGTTAAAAAAATGATTATAAGAACTACTATTATAAATTGTTATGTCATTTGTATACATGTTGAAAACCATCATAGATAGAGAAAATCTGATGGGGAAATTTAAAAAAATTAACACAATAAAAGGATCTACCAACTACTCATTTATTCCAGAATTATCAGATAACTCCTTACATGCCTTATGAGTTCTTGTACTGAATTCAATTGCAGACTACACGAAATTCGTTGGACCGTCGGACAAATCCGGTGAATAATGGATCGGTCTGGTAAAATTTTGTTGAATTCCAGTCCGAATGTCCGGTGTTGTTTTTTTCTTGGATTTTTCTAAAAACCCTACATTTTTCCCAATTTTGGGAGCAAAATTCCAAAATGATCTCCAAATTCATTTTCATCTTTATTATTCATGACAGCGATGTTTATTTTGTTCAACAGCTAGCTTTATGCCGAAAATCGCCAACAAGTAATGTGTAAATCCGAGTAAAAACATATCTGACTGACAAAAACAACAATGGCTGTCATCAACCGGAAATATAGACAAAACCGAATCAGATTCCGGGAACGGATAAGGCCAATTCCGGGTTTGCCGATCAAATACAATAAAAAATCCAAGCAGGTTCACAAAATACAGCTATGAAATATAAACACTAGAATTGAAAACCAAAAGATATATGAAAAAGAAAGAAGATACAGGAATTATTGTATACAGAAACTCTAAATTATTTTTAGTTCACAAATAATTTTCATGTCAAAATCCAATAGAATGTGGCATTACTTTTCATCACTGAAATGCATTCAAGCAATTGTGCACAACTTTCATCAAAATATACACTCTTGTCACATGATTTTGTTTTTGTGCATTTTGGAGTGCAGTAGGGCACAAGTCATAGGTTTGTTGGTATTTTGTCGGATAATATACAATTAGATGAAAAAAAAATTGGTCTGGTAAAATTTCATTCGGTCTGGTAAAGCTAGGTTGTTTACCAGACCGAATGTCCGGTAAAAATAAAATTCATTCGTGTAGTCTGCAATTGATATGTTTTTTCACCCATTTATTGTGTTTTAGGCAATTATGATAAATTTTATAAAAGATAAATTAGAAACTGTAATTTTGGTAGCATCACTATAACTGTTCTAGAGTTATGCCCCTTTATAAATGGAAAAATTGCTAAATTTTTAGTTTCCGTTCTCTAACTTAAGTTTGCCTCAACCAAATTTTATGAAACATATACACAATGCTTTTTACCACAAATTAAAGATCAAGTTTGAATTTTGGTGGGGTCACTTTAACTATTCTCGAGTTATGCCCCTTTATAAATGGAAAAAAATGCAAAATTTTTAGTTTCCGTTCTCTAACTTAAGTTGCCTCAACCAAATGTTATGAAACTTATACACAATGCTTTTTACCACAAAACACAGATCAAGTTGAATTTTGGTAGCGTCACTTTAATCAAAAATTGAGTTATGCCCCTTTATAAATCGAAAAATTCCAAAATTTTTAGTTTCCGTTCTGTAACTAAGTTTGCCCCAACCAAACATTATGAAACCTATACACAATACTTATTATCTTAAAACTCAGATCAAGTACTAATTTGGGTAGCGTCACTTTTATCGTTCTTGAGTTATGTCCCTTTATAATGTTGTATGCAAGTGGGGGCATCATCTGTGTCCATGGGGACACATTCTCCATTTATTAATGGTGTTATTGCCCTTAAATGAGTTTTGTTTATTATTTCTTGTATTTTTTTGGCAATCATCTTGAAAATTATTGGAAAAGGAAAACTGTAAAGAGCAAAATGATCAGCAAGTCAAGATTTACAAATTAGTTTAATCACTGAAACTGTCAATAGACTCCTTATAATGAGTTTTAGCCCTGTTTAGCTATTGTAATACCTCCCAAATTATATTAGATTATATAAGGAAAACTGTTAACAGCAAAAATGTTCAGCAATACAAAAGCACCAAAAAAAAAAGATAAAAGTCACGAATTGTATTCTAGTCTTTAATGTTAGCTAATGACCATTGTTGAAAATGCACATAGGTTTGGATGAGTGACACACACAAGCTCCTTATAGCCTCTAGTTATAATTATTTAGAAAACAATAACTAAGCAGAAAAAAAATCAGCAAGACAAGATCTACAAATAAATGAACCTTACCAAAATCTTCAATTGACGCCTTTTAGAAGAAGTTGTTACCCTTATATGACAATTTTACACAGTTTTTGCATTTTATGACATTTCTTGAAAAACTATAATAAACTGTTAAAATGGCCAGCTAGATAAGATCTTCAAATAAGCAAACATGACTGATTGTGATACATATCAAAATGTCATAGTTTTGCATGTTGAGTGATTAAAGCTCTTAGGAGTCTATCCTGTGATGAAAGTGACTCCAAACTGAAGATTTCAGAGACTTCAATTAATTTCCTTATTTGTTCTTTACAATATATAACATTTTGTCAGATTAAGCAAATCACACCTGCTATATTTTGAGTATGTCATGTGTAATGTACAATACAAGTCCCAAAATATATCAAACATTTGGAAGAATTGACTGTATACAGTTCATACATTTAGCCCATACATTGCCATACCTTATGGACAAGTATTAGAGTAAAGTGTTATACATTGTTATAGAAAAAAAGTCCATCCAGTTTGAAAAATTAAACGTGTCTCCATTGAAATATATTTAGGATATCAGGGTCATTCAGATTCTAATAAGACTTTTACAAAACAAATATTGTCACATGGCAAATGAAATGACTGATTTAATTTAGTTACAATGATCTTTACTCTGGAGAGATGTTCTGATCTCATTTACAATCACAAGAACATTTTGTAAGGATTTAATAATAATAATAATAATAAATTCTTTATTTAAAGAGGGTAAACTCAGTTAGTTACAATAAACTAATCTTCCCTGAGGCCCTCACATACAAATTACAATACAATCAAAAACAGATATTTACACAAAGTTAATTTACAGTCAATTAGTTCAATGTAATATTACTAACATGATAAGATATAAGGCTGTTCAAGATGTACATGTAGTCAAAAAATCAAATACAAATAAAAATAAAAGAATATACAAATACATTGTAGAAAATATAATCTTATCAGGACTGTGTTAAGTACTTCTTGATACTTTGTTTAAAAGTATAAGTGTTTTGAGCTTTACGCATTTTGTGTGGTAGTCCATTCCATAACACTGATCCAGAATAAACAAAAGATTTCTTAAATAGCTCAGCTTTTGGCTTAGGAACTATCAGATTACCTTGAGTGACGCCTCTCAGGGAGTAAGGATTATTATCTGATTTCAGTTTAAACTTTTGAACTAGGTACATTGGTGCTTCCATATGCATACATTTATATAGAAGTAAATATTTGTGGTATTTTATTCTATTGTCAACTGTCATCCACCCAAGTTTTTTAAATAAGGGGGCTGAGGGGGATAAAGGATCTGCATCTAGAATTAATCTTGCTGCCCTTTTTTGGAGTTTTAAAATTCTTGCTATCCCTTCATTTTTACATTCACCCCAAATAATACAGCAGTAGTCAATCAGGGGCAGAATATATCCATTGTAATATGTTTTCCTTGCATTTATATCTAAAAATTTCTTTATTTTAGAAAGAAGGTATATTCTGGATGATATATTAGCACAAACTTGGTCAATTTGATTTCTCCAGTTAAGTGTGCTGTCAATTTTAACACCTAATAATTTTTCGCATGAAGAATTTTGTAATACTTTTGAATCTATTATTAAGTTTGGTTGATAAGTCTGAATTGATAGTTTCTGCTTTGTTCCAGTAACCAAACATTTTGTTTTATTTGCATTAATGAACATGTTATTCATTTTGCACCACTCTTCAACCCTGTATAAATCTTCTTGAACATCATCATGTATATTTTCTATGTTTTTCCCTGATTTATGAAGAGTGGTGTCATCAGCATATAGGTCTGTTTCACAATTTTCAATGCATAAGGGAAGGTCGTTTATAAATAGCACAAACAATAGAGGACCAAGTATAGAACCTTGGGGGACACCAAATTTTACATGTTGTTGTTCAGAGTAAACATTACAAATGTTTACCTGCTGTTTTCTGTTATTCAGGTATGACTTGAAAAAACTAACAGTAGCCTCACTAAATCCATAAATTTCAAGCTTTAAGCAAAGAATGTCATGATCTACCAAATCAAAAGCTTTTTTAAAATCTAATAAAATTGCTAGGTTTAAATTACCATCATTCATTTCTTGCAACCATTTGTCAATGATATTAATAAGTGCAGTTTGACAAGAATGCTGCGGCCTGAAACCAGATTGTGTAGGGTGTAAAAGGTTAAGTTTAGATAAGTATTTGTACATGTTATTAGAAACATGCCTTTCTATTAATTTTGATAAAGTTGGAAGAACAGATATAGGTCTGTAATTTGTTGCTAAAAGCTTGTCACCATCCTTGAAAACTGGTGTTACCTTAGCATTCTTCAGTAAAGAAGGATATATACCAGTATCTATCATTCGGTTAAATATGTATGTGAGAGGTGATGCAATAACAGGGGCGCTTAATCTTAGGATTTTTGGTCCTATATTAT